GCTTTTTTTTTTTCTGTTTAAATATTAAATTAGTTTGAAACCGTATTTAAATGTGCTGAGAATACCAGATATTTTCTGTTAAACTAAAAAATATATTTACTAAGACTGGAAAATATTAAATAATTTTTTTAATGGTTATTTTATAATTTACTACATAATTACATGCAAGCGTTGTTTCTAATGTCGGCCGTGAGCGCCGTCTTTTTGTTGATCGTTACAGTGACTGTGATGAAACCAGCAAAAAATAGTTAATAATAAACTTCATCTACACAGAGATGAAGATGCTTTACAAGTTCAAAATTCAAAATAAATAAACGATACGGGAACATTTCAAATCAATTTGAAGTTCACGCAACTTTAGAGCACGATTACAGAAATAAGAAATGTTCCAGAGCGTTCTGAGGTGCAGGACAAACCGGCCTTAAAGGTCAACAATAAAAACTTGGTTGTGCGTTTTGGACGAGCTGTAAATGACGTCGACACTGTTGCTCAGGCAGGAGAAGAGAGAACTGCAATAATTCAAACGAGAGGAAGTGAAGTCATCAACCTCTAAAGATTCTCGAACATCCTCCTGACGTTCTCCAGAGGGTCTGGATATGAACGCCTGAATGAGCGTCCGTCGTGTGTGAGAGACGAACTCTGGACATAATTCTGTCGACACGTCCAGAGTTCACGTCTGAAAAAATGTTTCTCCGGCACTGAACAAATATTTTGATGCTACTAATGTTAGCTATTTGATTTTTTTTTTTAAAGTGAGCTGGCTGACTCACGATTGGTCGAGTGTGTAGCGGGACCTCAACGACGTGGCTTCATCCCTCGGGTCCAAATGACGTCACCAGGTCAAGATGTCCGCGTCGGTGGAGACGTGTCGTCCATCTTAACCTGTGGTGAAAACAAATAAACGTCAGTTAGCATCAGCACATGTCTCCTCTATCTCCGTGTAGCTCGTTCAGAACATTCACTTGGGAATCACTAGCTACGAACGCTGAACTTTATTTTCTGACCCTGTTTCACTTTTTCGTTTTGACACAAATATCGGAACTTTCTACGCTGCACAATTTTATCACAGCGTCGACGTCCCAACGATTCCTTGTTGTTAGATCACACACAACATGTATGTAACATGACGAGAGACTCAACCACAGAGAAGAGGAGCATTGAATTATTAGTATGATTATATATAGTTAACACGAGTATCTGAACTTTTATCACTTCTGTTTAAAATTAGTCAGAAAAGCATAAAAACTACGAGTCCAGTGTTTCATCAGGTCACAACTAAAACCAGAGACGAGTTTATCAGAGAAACTTCAGGCAAT